GGAGGAATGAATTTAGGGAGACCCCAAGTCAGAGCTACAATCCACTGAAAGGATTATGGTCTGTAGAGGGAAACAGGGTGAAAATTCTGCCTGTGAGCCCCAGGGACAGAGCAGAACCCAGCTCCCTGGGGCAGGAGCAGCACGGAGCCCCTGAGCTCCTGTGCTGAGCACTGCCTGGGTGCAGAGCAGGAGGAAAGGGAGCCTGTCAGTTGGGGTGCTGAATGGCAGCCACAGGCCTGCTGGAGCTCTCTTCCCCCTCTGCATCCCAAGAGGGGTTCCCCAAATCCCCAAAACCTGCAGCTTCTCTCTCCCCAGGTGCAGTGGGAGTGCCCAGAACCTGCCCCAAGGGCTGGGAGTGTCACAGGGGCTCTGACTCTGTGCATGGTGGGGTATTTTGGGAGGCCTGGATGAGCTGGGCTGGGTCCATGATGAGCAGAGGGGATTTCTGCTGGGTGTGAATGTCCCCACATCTATTAGGATTATTATCTTATTATTTATTGTTATCTTTATCTATGGTAGATAGATGTAGATGGGGTGTGAGGTGTGCCCCGGGCAGCTGCTCCCCAAAATCTCTTAACAACCCCTGAGCAGTGACCCAGAGGGTCCAGAACAGACAGTTTTTGGTGAGGATAAACCAATCCCAACCCCTGTAACCCCTGACACCCAGGAACGACTACGAGAAGCTCATCCACCAGAGAACCAACACCACCCCCTTCCAGCTGCTGAGCGCCGAGGAGGACGCCCCCGGCGTGGCCGTCAGGGTGATGAAACCCCTGGAAGCCTCAGAGCTCAGCCTGGAAACCGTCTACGAGAAATTCCACCCTTCTATCCAGTCCTTCACCGACGTCCTGGGGCACTACCTCAGCGGGGAACGCCCCAAGGGCATCCAGGAGACGGAGGAGATGCTGCGGGTGGGCACGGCCCTGACGGGGGTGGGCGAGCTGCTGCTGGAGCACGGCACCCTCCGGCTGCAGCCCCCCAAGCAGGGGCTGCCCTACTACCTCAGCGCCTCCCCCTTCGACGCCTTGCTGCAAAAACAAGAAGCCAACGTTCGTTTTTGGAAAACCCTCACCCTCCTCTTCGGCCTCGCCACTTGCGCCGTGCTCTTCTTCGTCCTGCGGAGGCACTACCGGGACCGCCTCCAGCGCCGGCGCCTCCGCCAGATGCGGGAGGAGTTTCGACAAGCTCAGGAGCTCCTCCTACGCCGGGCGGGTCCCGAGGGAGCCGAAACGCTGAAAAACGTCTGCGTGGTTTGTTGGAACAACCCCAAATCTTGCGTTTTTTTAGAGTGCGGTCACCTCTGCTCCTGCCGGGAGTGTTACCGGGCGCTGCCCGAGCCCAAGCGGTGCCCGGTGTGCCGGCAGGACATCTCCAGGGCAGTGCCCTTGTACAACAGTTCACCCCCGCCGGGGGGGGGGGTGGATTTTGGGCACCGCAGCTGCCTCTGGAGGTGAGGGGGTTTTATTTCTCACCTCGCTGCTTGATTTTGGGGGAAGGAAAGGGGCCTTAAAAAAGCCACGGTCCCAGCTGCTCACCCCGGGAGTTTTTGGGGCAGGAATCAGCACTGGGCTGGGAGATGCAGCTTTCAGCTGAGGATGGGACTCCATTTAGCAGCCCTGACCAAAAACCAGCGTGCTTTGGGTGGGAAATGATATAAAAATGATATAAAAATGATATAAAATTGTGTGTTAGGGCTTCTGAGAGGCTGCAGGATGGGGGTGAGGCTCCGG